ATATGCACCCAAACCCGCTGGTTACACATCTGATGTCCCCTTCCAACACTTTTACGAGGCTGAGAAAAAAAACATCGAGAGACATTTTAGATATGTATATATAGGTCACACACTTCTATTTTAAATATATATGGTTATGTCACTGAGCATAGTCCATAAGAGCCTTTCTTCTTTAGATCGTAATAACTATTATTACGAATTATATTTATATATATTACTTATTGTCATTTATACCTGACAGATTGTAATAAAGTAAATGGATTTCAAACAAAAAAAAAATATTAATTGTCACCGTAAATACTTTTTTTAATTTTTTCATATGGTGTGCCAATAATTTTGTTCAGTCTAATCTAATATTTTTTTAATTTTTAATTTTAAAAAATGAAATGTAAGAGATGATATAATGAAATAAAATGAATTTAATTGCAGATTATTTCATCTAAAATAAAATATTGTTGATTAAAAATTGCATCATTGTCACTGTATAACAGTCAAATATGCACTCAAATTGGTCCGAGAACCGGTTGCGAATATTGAGCAGAAGGGATTAGTCGTCGTTATATTGATACATTGTTAGGTTTTCTAAATTTCTAAATAAATTAATTTCTAAATTGTAAATTTGTTAGTTTTTTGAATTGTATTCTAAATTATACATCTCAAAGTTTTTTTGAATTATATTCTAATATTTTGTGGTATACTTTGTTTTGAAACATTTTGTTATTCCATATTCATTCTTTTGAAAACGTGTATATTAATTTTATAATTCATTCTAAGTTTTACAATTTATAAGCATATAAATACGCATAAAAGCTCTGTTCGTGCCGTTTTTACAAATAATTTATCATCAAAAAAAAAGGTGAAACGAAAGCTCCGTGCAGCATTGGTTCGTTACACGCGTAGTCATTGCTTCAAATTTTACAGTTTAATAGTTCCAAGCCTGACACTTGTAGGCTAACTTTTCGGACTGATAAAACCGATTATTTTCAAAGATTAATGATTGGCAGTACTCGACGCACCTATATGCTCAGCCAAGAAACTCAATTATAAAATATGAACAAAACTCTGCTGATTACATAAAACAAAAATTGAAAATACCAGCTTAGTCTTTTCTTTACAAATTCCGAACATACAAGATAGAAACTGATTAGAAGACCTGAAATATCGACAAGTAAAAAAGAGCCGAAAAATCGAAATGACAGTCTCGTACAAGTGGAAACACTTCGTGCATTAAGGAGCAGCTATCAACAGAAGAACAGGAGGGACAATCAGTGACATCACCGAGGCAACTAATATACTACTAATAGTTATCATTTCCATTTTATGTGAGATAGTCGGTATTCACTACTCATCATGTGTGGCCGATAATTTAGACCATCACTATATATAGACACACAGTAATCACAACGTTATTTATAGTATCTATATACCTAAATAGTAATTAAAACAACTAATAGTACCTGAAATATAGTAAAGGAATTTTTTCATATTGAAGTCCATTAAGTGCGAAAGCAGCACTAGTAATTGTTGAATTTCCAAATTGATATAAGCATTGTCCTGTAGTTTGACCGATTTGGGCTTTTATATGTCATGTTACAAAAAAAATGAGTTCCTTAAATAAAGATGTAATATGTGTGTTTTGGTAGCTGTAAAATTAGAATCAATATCTTCATTTTTTAAGGTTGAAACAGATTAAAATGCAGTCAAAGTGGTTTGACTTTATCACCCGCACCAAGCTTGAGTTATACTCAATGCAAGATTAAGCTACAGTCATTAGTTAGAGTATCTCTTGACTCCCACTATAGCTCCAGTATATGGAATGCAGTAGTCACTAACTTGCCTTATTGTGTGCAATGCTACAGAAATGCTTTACTGATTTATCGAATTGCTATTACATAGCGTGTGGGTAACTGCTCAATTTTTAGTTGAATGTTCTTTTGTAGATATATTATCGCTGTATGATTTTTATAAAAAAAAAACTAATCCAAAACATTAAAATGTGTCAATTGATTAATAAGACGTCAATAGGTTTTTCTTAAATTTCTACAACACAATTTATCGACCAATTCTTATCTATGTTAATATCCTTCAATATTTCAAACAACATATTAAACAAATCAAAATTATAGATATTTCAATTAGTTTTTTAAAAAACCTATTACATACAGTGCCGAACATAGTTATTGGCACAGCCAGTAAATTGAATTTTAGCACTATTTTTATCCTATTAATGATGTAATTTTTAATCAATAAAAATTTTTTTTACCATAGATAGAATGCTTAATTTGCTTTTAAATTCATTTTATTTTATCTTATATTCAATTTTTTGAATTTAAGAAACCAATAAAAAAACTAAACAAAACAAAACTGAACAAAAATTATTGGCACAGCTAATGCAAAAATTAAATTAAAAAAAAATATTTTCGATAACAATTAATATTTAGTGGCCCAGCTCTTCAATTTAATAACAGTTACTAATTGCTTTGGAATCGAAAAAATCAATTTTTGTGTCGCTTTTGACCCAATATTCTGCTACTCTTCAAGAGTGTCATCTTCAGTGCTGCTTTCGTTGTTATAGCGCGCTTCTTTAGTCGTCTATCCAATTCTATATTTACACAACCAAGGCAAATCTTATACGAAGATTGGAGAAATGATAGATAGATGCCGCTATACCATTCGGAGCATTATGCACTGTTTCAAGGGGGTGCAAATTACAAAGCACACAGACCGATAAATCTATGAACGACCATGAACGCAACATAATAATATCTCCAATCCAAATTGCAGCTGAGGTTAAGCGAGAGTTTGGCAAGGAAATTCATCCCATAACGGTCAGGAGGACACTAGTTACAACTGTCGTGTTGCTAGACGAAACCCGTTGATTTCAAAAGCTAACCAACAGAATTATCTAGCCTATACAAAGGCGTAGCCAATCGACTTTTGGAACAATGTAACATGGTAGTAAAGGAGTATTTATATGGGGCTGCATTTCCACTGCAGGGATCGGCGAATTGGAATTTATTGACGGCATTATGGATAAAAATTATTTTTAACACATCCTCAAGAAAATCGTCAAAAAAAGTGCCGGAAACTTGAGTTTACCTGCCACATTTAACTTAAAACAGATTATGACCCAAACAATACAGCTTATGATGTGCGTATGTGACTCGTTCTCAGACAAATTTAGTTTTTTTATTGGTTTCTTAATTTTTAAAACTTAAATATAGAATATAAAATAAAATAAAATGAATTTAAAAGCAAACTAAGTATTCCATCTAAAAAAAATTTTTTAAAAATTAAAAATTGCATCATTAACAGGATAAAAATAGTGCTAAACTTCAATTTGCTGGTTGTGCCAATAATTGTGTTCGGCACTGTATATAAATATATACATACAGTCAGGCACAAAAGTTTAAATACACCCTTAAAATTCAAAAATAAACATGTTACTAAAATTGTAAATATGTAATTTTATTTCATTTCATAAATTATTAAAAGTAAAAAAAGTAAATTTACTTTGTTACAAGCATAACGGTTAGTTTAACAAAAACGAAAAAAATGGGAATAAAAGTTTAAATACACATGCAAAAGTTTCGACTAACTATCAATTTTGGGCTATTTTTAACAAAAAAGAAATATTACTATAATACTTGTTTTGTACGAATTTGATGATTATAAGTCTAAATTTGTTATTAGTTGCGTTTTTATTGACAGCATAAGTTATATTAGTCATTATGGGCAAAGGAAAAGGTATAGAGTCAAGCGTTAAAACTTTGGTAATTAAACACATCAAAGGCAAATCCTATCGAGAAATAGGAAAATAATTGAATGTTCCATTTTCAATGAAAAATATGCCTAGAAGCGGAAGAGTAAAAAACACTTTCTCGTCGAGATGTTAGCTATATCCTGAAGGAAGTGCATAAGAATTCAAAAGTTAATGTCTCAGATTTGGGTTGTGACATTACTAAAACTTTGAGCAAACATGTTCATTCACAAGCAGAGTTCCACGAAAGATGCCGCTAATAAGTGAAAAAAATAAACAATTAGATTGAAATTTACAAATAAATACAAAAACAGAGACATGGAATTTAGAAAAACTGTACTTTTCGCTGATGAATGCAATTTCAATTTGTTTAAAAGCGATGGTTGTGCAAGAGTCTGCCACAAACCTAACACCGTTCTTTGAACTACAAATTTGGGGCCAACTGTGAAGTACGGTGGTGATATTGCGATGGTGCGAACAGCAAAAGGAACACCGAGGGTTAGGAATTTAGTTTTCATTGACTGTTTAATGAACCAACATCAATATAAGAGCATAATGCAACAGCATTTTCAGCTTTCTGTAAACAAATTAGGTCTTGAGCATTATTGGATTTCCCGACAAGACAACAATACTCAGCATACCGGCTTGTTAGTGAAAGAATAGTGACTTTATTATGCCCCCCGGCAACTTCATAGTCCTCATCAATCACCAGACCTTAATTCTATTGAGCATGTTTAAGAGTTAATAAAGCGCTAATCGAAAAATATACATACAACTAGCTAGGATTCACTAAAATGAGTTTTTAAGAAAGCTTGGTTTGAAATAACTATGTCAGAAACAGAAAATTCCGTCATTTCCATGTCACGTCGTCTGCAAGCAGTCACAGAAAGTCAGGGCGGTTCAACAAAGTATTTAAGTATTATATTTTGCTGAAAATTTTGTCAATTTCTTTGCATTACATAGAATTTTTGCATGTGTATTTGAACTTTTGTCCCCATAATTTTTTGCTCTCAATAAAGTAAATATTTTTGTTTTAAATTTTAATAATATGGTATATGAAATGATATAAAACTGCATAATTACAATTTTAGTGACATGTTTATTTTTGAATTTTAAGGGACTTGTGTCGCTGACTATACATATAAATATGGCAGTCTTAATTCTTTCGGGCTTATTATATTCGAACATCCAAATTTTTATATGTAACTAATCAAATCAAATGTCTCATTTTACTTGATACCTCCAAGAAATTCATGAAATTCTGCTTACAACCACGAAAATTGACAGTCGCCTTGATCAAATCTTCTAAGATCGCGCTCACGAGTGGAACTCCAGTAATCGGTAAAGAATATTTTTCGTAACCTAATATATTTAAACTACTTCGCAAATCGTTAAAACACTCAAAATTTAGCATGTTTTGCATCGTTTTATTTTTTAAATGAATTGTATCTTATACTGTCAAGTGTAACAAAAAATTTAGTTTGAGAGGAATCATTTGTCGAAATCAAAGAACATATTGTAGGAATGGTAACTTCATTAATAATAAAACTGGTTTTTTAAATGACTATTAATATTCCTCTATGTTGATGTGGTGATAAAAGGGTTTTAAAAGTGGCATATGCTTTTATATTGTTTACAAAATATTTTAATATATTTGTAAATGCATCACATTGTCAAACTGTGCAATCAATGTCTAAAAAAATGCACTAAAAATTTCGTGTATATATATTTTTATTAATGTAATTATTGACACATTATTTAAAAAAATTGTTTGATATAACATATATATTGTAAATAGGACCCTGATAGTTATAAAACAAATAAAAATCACCTAATAACTATTATCATTCGCATTTTAAAACTCAAAAAATAATTAAATTTGCTTTATATTATATTCCTCAAAAATAAAATTTTTTGTGCCTTTTTTCACGCAGAAATAATATGAAATCACAGAAACAACTACCTTACATGAAAAATGCATTTTATACTTTTTCGTTTTAAAAATATTCGGCAGGCCATTGCGAGTTATTCATGATTTTTATATATGTATATAAGAATTTTAAAAGTTATTTCTGCGCGAAAAATTAAAAAGCACATAAAATAAGTGTTTTTGATGAATATAATGTAAAGCAAATTTAATAATAATTTTTTGAGTTTTATTTTAAATTGCTCATATAAATTAATTTATTTATTAAAATAATACTTTTTTTAATCTTCTTCCTCTATTTGTTTTTTATTGATTTATTGTTGCCGCTTCCGCGTCGTACTTAAATCTAATCATATCGCGTAAGCGTCGTACTTAAAACTAAACGTTAAAATAAATTTACAATAAATATAACCCTCAATATCCATTACGGGATATTGTTTTGCAAAAATTGAACAACAGTAATTTGTTTTGATAAAATTGTAACAAAACAAATATTACTTACGGGATATTGTTTTGATACAATTGATCAATAGTTATAATGATCATTAAAATAAATGTTTATTAACTTATATAAAAAGCATGCATAACATTAAGGAAAAAGTTGTTAGAATGATAACCATATACTTAAATATGAGTTAAGACAACGTTTTGTTGCTGCTTTTTATCATAAAAATTTTTGAAATAACTGTTATTTTCGGTTTCTAATTTTAATACTTTTATACTACTTTAAAAAAGCGTGTTAAAAATTTAAACATATAAGTTTTTTGTAAGTAAAAATTTTAAAAAGCGTCGTTGATAACATAATAAGCATCGAACATTTTTGTATCATAGTAACAACAAAATAAAAAATGTTCAACACTGAAATAAATAATCGCTTTAACCATTTCATGCTGTTTTCAAAAATCAACTAAATGATACTTGCCAGAAGTTGTTCTATTATTTATAGCTAAAAAAAAACTAAAATAAAAACTGCTCATCAACGAAGTGAAGAAATACTATGTTTAGACACACCTTAATTTTGCAAAAATCTTGATTTCATTTTCGTTTAAGCGAAATTAAATTGTTTATCCATACAAAATTCAGTTTTAAGGTTAGAACAAAATTAAGGAAAATGGCTTTAATTTCGTTAAAACGAAAGCTGAAATAAAAGGACATTTCAAATGTAAATACGCGTAAAATAAAATTCAAGCAAAAGATAAAATTGAGTCAGGTGTCATTTTCTTCAAATAAATGTCAGTGAATATTGATTTGAATAAAATCGGGAAATTATTTTGAAAGCAGTGCTAATTTTTATAATTAAGAAAATATTGTAACTGTTATTAATTTAAATAGAGTGAAAAATAATAATTAGCAAACTGTGCAAGGAAATTTGTGTTATATTTAAATCACACTGCGCGAATAATGATCATTAACTGCTCAACTGCTCAAGTTGGAATGTCGTTCCTGCGTGTCAGAAGAAGTACAACATAACAAACAAGTACAAAACGACCAAATCAATGAATGTTCAAGTATTTGTTGCATTTGCCGTGAATACACGCGTTTCGAATGCGGTCCGCTGGTTTGGTATATAATTCCTGGAGTTGAACTGTATGTAACGACAAAAAGTTCTTAAATGCGGTGTTATATAGGAGCGATGAAGAACTGCAGCGGATAAGTATTCTTTAGTTTTTTTGTATTTTTTGAATTGTATTATTAAATTTTATTTGTTTTGGTGTTCTTTTTGCAAAATAATTGTACACATACATTCTCAGCTGATAGAGACAGCAAATAAAATTATCAACACAGAAACATTACAAAATGAATTAGTGTTAGAAAACTGTCAAATAAATTAATCAATTGAACACAAAAGTTTGTGCGATCGTGTAATGTTGTACCCCAATTTAGCAAAATATTTAAATTTAATCAGCAAATTATAAATTTGCCAGCAAAGTATTATTTTGAACTTGTTTTCTGAATTTTGAACATTTAAAATTTACAAGTACCAAATTGTTTAAATTTCCTGAATAATTTAAAAGGTATCCAACTCTGAGTGGGCAAAGAACATCATCTTTATAGAAATAAAACGTATCTCAAAAAATAATGGTGAAGGACATGGTATAGTAAACATACCATTATTCCCCAAGCCTGATGATAGTGTTGAAGATAAACTATAACAACTGTCTGCGATAATGGAATCTCAAACACATATTAATAAGGGTATCCGGGATCTCCTGGCACAGGTAGTTAAGATGTATAAAACGGAACAAGAAAGGGGGCCACAACTACCACACAAGCCACAAAAAAGTAAGTAGGAGTATGGCTTCCATTAGTGTGCAAACTCAGGGAGCACTAAAGCGTTCTGTGAATGAGAAACAAAACGGGCCACCATCCAAAGTTCAGATTAGAGAAATCGGAAACAAGGAGCAGGGAACATCTTGTCACAAATGGCAGCTAGTGCAAAAGAAAAAGAAAAATACTGCGACAAAACTGAACCTTCTTAAAGCGCCAAGAGTGAGACCGGAAGCAAGAAGTTTCTGCACTGAAATGAAGAATACACTTCAGGACTATGCTAGTGTAATATACTTAACACAACACACTCTAATAGAGTGCAGAAATCTGGACGAGGTAACGTCCAACGAAGAGGTGTGCGCGGCGATTGCTGATCAATTTCCAGCAATAAACGTAAGCGGCATCAACGTCAAGTTTTGGCGTTCCGCAAGGGACAACACACTATCAGCGATTATTGACCTTCCTGCTAAGGATGCCAGTGTACTGATCACAGCTGCCTCAGTCAGAGTGGGCTGAGTGAGCTGTAGGATTAGAAAACATATCGCACCCATGAGGTGCTTTAAATGCCTACAATTTGGATATCCTGCTAGACAGTGCAAAAGCATTTATGAAAGATTAAGCACATGTCATATAGCAAAAATGTGCTCGGCTCAACCAAAATGAATTCAATGTCCGAAAAACTGCAAGGGTGGTAATCTACACTACTCAAGAAGTTCCAAATGCGAATCGTACAAGAAGGCTATACAGGAGCTTAAGTCCAAAAAATGATTAAATTTCTACAATTGAACTTAAATCGATGTGAGGCTGCCCAAGACCACTTATCCCAAACAACTTTGGAATTATAGTCAGATGTAATCGTAATTAGTGAATTTTACAAATTAGAAGAAACCTCTAAATGGGTTCAAGATACTTGAGTAAAGGCAGCCATTTGCCTAGGAAAGGACATAATATTTGAACTAAGCGTATTGATGCAAAAGGAAGGTTTAGTACTTGTTAGAATCCGAGGTATCTATATATGTAGCTGCTATATATTCCCAAATATCTCCCAGGAAAGATTTCAAGAGTTCTAGATAGGCTATTCGGAACAGTCCGAAACAAAACTCCCATCATTGCAGGAAATTTCAATGCTTGGGCACTCGATTACGACGCACCGACGTAGAGCCCCATAAGAGACGTTCACCTCACTTAACAACACAAATGAACAATGGGCATATCCTAACCTTCGACAATTTTAGAGGCCTATCCCACATAGATTTCACCTTTGCCATCCCGTCATTAGTTAGGTGTTCGCAATGGAAAGTAACAAACCACTACACCCACAACGATCATTATTTCAATTGGTTTTTCATATCGTTGAAGAAGTTTGTTTTAAAAAAATCACTGAAAAAAGCACAGTAAATAGGCTGGAAAACTAAGTGTCTCGACAAAGAGGTAATAGAATTCATGGCCGAGAACATGAGTTTCGGAGACGGGGAACAATATAGAAGATCTCTATATTCAGGGATGTGTTCAAACGCTGCTTATAGGAAGAATTTTTCCATCGTGTTGGAAAAAGCAAAGATTGATGCTTATAAATAAAAATAGCAAACACTCAGAGCTAGCATCATCTTACAGACCTTCATGCTTACTGGACACTGCAGGTAAGTTCCTTGAAAGAATTGTATGTTTTGCGCGGTGGGAACCTTAGATGTCAAAAATGCTTTCAACTCTGCTAAGTAGAGTAGCATCTTAAATGCACTGATGAAAATAAGAGTCTCAGAATATCTTTTGAATATTATGTATTATATCATATTTTAAAGGCAGATTATTCTTAAATGATACAGAATCTGGACCCAAAACATATAAGATTATGGGAGAGGTTCCCCAGGGATCACTTCCAGGGTCAATTCTGTGGAATATCATGTGCGATGGTATGCTTCGAATCGAAATGAAGTGAATGTAGTTGGGTATGCAGATGATATTGCAATAGTAGTTGTTATAAAAACTCTAGACGAAGTGGCTAAGAATTGCAACGCTACTATTGCAGCAGCTAAATCGTGGTTGCAATACATTGGATTGCAGCTTGTTGAGCATAAAACAAAGGTGCTCTTAATCAGCAGTAGGAAAATGATTGAACAGCTCTCAATTAAAGTGGGTGGCGTAAACATACAATCTAGCCCCCAACTTAAATATCTCGGGGTCACCCTAGATAATATGTTGAGTTTCGAAACATATGTAAGGCAATCGGGAGACAAAGTGATTGCAATACAAGCCCCAAGGACACCGCTTGAGTTCTTTTAGTATCAGTTTCTATATGCTACTCTTGTGTGGGCGTATGCTATAACCATAAAGCCATATTGACTGTTATGTAGGCCTGTGTGGGTAGAAGGTGATATGTTAACATAGGTAGTAAAATGAAAAACATGATGTTACCTCGTATGTCCCACGTTGTCCAGGTAGCCTCCATACAGTACTTCACCACCCGAATTCGTCTACACATTTTTTTTTATTTGTTTTAATATTAATTAAAATTAACCTGTGCATTGCACGCACATGCTAAATATGTAAGAAAAAGCTTTTGTAAATTTTTTTTTTTTTTTTATTTTGATCAAGAGTCGCGGCGAAAAGTTTTAGTCAAGATTAGGAATTATGAAAAAAAATAATGCTGCCAAAGCCATGCGCTTAAAAATTCGGAATGTGCAAAAAACAAAAAAAAATAGAAACAGTAGTAACAGATATTTTGGAAAGCGGTTTAAAAAGACACAGCCAGATTTGGTTCTTTGTTCTGAAAGTAACAGGAAGGTTTGACCGAAACTAAATTAGGATATATAAGTCGACAGAAAAGGAAAACGGAGGTCTATTTTTGACTTTTGGTTTGACGGTTGAAGTGTGTGCGAAAAATCGGAGTTTTGAAATCAGAAAAAATTGATAATATATAAATCAAAAACAAAAGAGTTTTTCTTGTGAACAGTGAGAAAAGTAATAAAGAAATTAAATTTTCTTTGGTTTGAACAGTTTGATGCAAATAATAATCCTGTAAAATTCTTGGAGAGAATAATATTAGTAATAACCTTTTCCCAAGTCCAATCATTTAATTTTTTTTATTATCTGAAAAACTGTTAAAAACCTGTAGTTTGAAAACCAACATTAATTAAAAAACAACTATATGAAATATTGTGAAATATTGGATGTATTAAATAATTTGTGTGCCCAAAATTAAAAGAAAAGTAAAATAAACTCAAGACAATCACACGGTAGCCAATTAACAGAAGTAAAATAGTCGTATAATATAATAATTTTGTTGTTAAAAGAACTATTTATACTACACTTTGAGGGCATCATAAAGGACTTCTGAACAAGATTTTGGATGATAGTTTCTGCTGTACTGTTTTTTATTGAACTGTGCTAATAAATATGGAGGTATAAGGATATGTGGATATATGGAAAGGTGTATATACGTTCAGCATATCCAGCTCAGAAGTGAATTGCAGTATAGAGGTAAATTGAATAATAACGCCTGAAATAGTCACATCGCTCAAATTTTTTTTTATACGTCATATTGTTTTGTTTTTAGTTTTAAATAGTTTTTTATCTTAATTTTCATCTTAAGTTTTTCTTTTAATTAAATTTTTTTTTTATTATATGTGTTAATTTTTTTTTATTAGTAAGTTTTTTTAAAGATTTAATTTAAAATTTAATTTTAATTCTTAAAATTTGTTTTTGTATGTTATTATTTTCACATAAAAGAATTTGTCCTTTTTTTTAATTTGTTACAAAAGAATTTAAAGAAATATAGCTATTATTTTAATGGTTACTTATAATTACAATTATATCAAAAAAATAATGCTGAAAATTCTGAAGTTGCATAAATTGTACCCATTGTAAATTTGCTTGCTAAACACATCAGCAGGCCGATTCCACTAATAGCTATCGCTAAAACTCCATCGCTAAAATTCTTTAAATGCATTTTAGCGATTTTTGCGATTCTGCTAACTCGTTACGCTTAATTTCTATTCGCTAATTTTCTCAACTTTCAAAAACAGCTGATTTTTCCGGATAAATCGCTAAATCGCCAAATTTCGTATTCTGCTAAATTGGCAATCGCTAAATTTCGTTAAAAACGACTAAAATTTCTCCTAATTTGATTGTTTTTAGCGACTAGGTTTTTGCTGTCGCTTAAAGTGAAAATATTATTTTTTAAACAAATTGAGCAATTATTTTGTATGTATTTAGTATAATATTCATATTTATTTATTAATTAAGTAATTGGGATAGAAATAAATTTTGCATTTAAAGTAAAATGAAAAAGAAAATTAATATTACAAAAATTTTGTGGCAGTAATATAGTGAGAGTGCGTTTGGTGTTCAGCAAATGTAAACAAATGTATTTTATTTTTCATATTTTTATTTTTGTACCAAAAATAAATGAATTCCAAGTGAAACAGTGAACAAAATGAATAATTATATACATATTAATACATATAAGATTTAATATATTTTATTTATTATTTAATTTTTAGATATTTATGATGGAGTTCATGGACTTAAAGTCAAAACGAATTAGCAAGAAGCAGAAACAAGTGCTGGTTCAGCATATGGAAGAGCATAAAGATTTCGCTCATGACAGATTTGTGTCAGATCACGGTGCGCGAAGTCTTAATGAACAGTGGAGCTCTCTAGCTGCTATTTTAAATGCCGTTGGTGGAGCAGTTAAAGATGCCAATGGTTGGAAGAAGGCATGGGTCAACATGAAGTAAGTAGTTAAAAATTAAAATAAAATATATTAACAGTTAATAATATATGTATATATATATATATATAAAAGAATTATACATAAAAACATGTAAAATAACATCGTTGCTTTTAATTTTATAGTTGTAGAAACTATATTGAAAAATTGTAAATAAAAAAACTCCATTGTTTAATTTTAGATCCAAAAGCAAGAAGAAATTACAGGACTATAAACATGCAATGGGACTGACTGGAAATGCGTCCGTTGGCATTAAGGATTTAACTGATCTAGATAAACGGATTATTGCAGTAATGCATCCAGTAGCGGTGCAAGGCATGGAAGATGTCTGCGAGCCAGCAATGCACTTTGAAAGTGACATTTCAGGTTGTTATGATTTAGAGGTAAGTATTGGAGGCGAATGCCTTATTATCGCTTTTATTTTTTTTATATTTTTTTTAATTATTAATCTAATAAATGTTTAATTTAAGTGCCTTGAGGAGGGAAAGGAACTGCCAAGCGGTTCAGGTCCATCTGTTGGGGGTAACGATGAGGGTTGTGTGCCTATTCGACCTATTCGTCCAGCCAAGCGACGAAAGCGAAATCCCTCATTAGAACAGACCAACCAAAAGTTCGTCGAGTTAGAGGAGAAAAGGTTGAGGCTTGAGGAGCGTCGACTTGAGCTGGAGGAAAGAAAGCTCAAACAAGAGAAGGAGATTGCGGACGAACGCGTGCAGGCCACTAAAGAGCATACAGATGCTATAAAACTGTTAGCGGATGCAATTAATAATTTTAATACATAGAATAGAATTAATGTAAGCTTCTTATGGTGGATAGGCCTACTGGGGAACCAGCCAAATAAAATAATTTGGTTAACGCATTATGTGCAATACCTCAGGGGTGATGTGGAAATTTGCGCTTTTTTATTAATAAAATAATTGTTTATTTTTAAGGTTTTTCTTCCTCATTGGACACTGAAGATGGTCTACGAAGTAGACCCAAATATTTGTAATACAAATAAGTTTTTATAAAAACTGAAATACAATTAAATATTTAACACAAATTTATTAGTGTAACTTTTATGTGTTAAATTAACGACCTAAGGCCAGAGTATTAATAAAAAAGTGTTGAGTATTGGTCATAATAACAATTTATTATTAATAAAATAATATTAAAATAACAATATAAGTAAATATATATTTAAACTTTTAATAAAAAGTCAATTAAATAAAACCCAATTAATATTGAAAATAATTATTGATTATTTCTTCTCTTGCTAGAAACGCTTCAGGGACGGGTTCTTGTGCTTCAAAGTCATTATCTTCATTTATTTTTTCGTCCGTGTTTTCTGCGCAGTCAACATCATTAACTTCGTTCATTATATTATGTGTAATAATGAAGTTATGTAGAACCAAACATGAATTAACAATTTTGCCCGCTGTTTCAGGATCATACATTAAAATTCTTTCGCTGCCAAGGCAACGAAATCTACTTTTTAATAATCCGAAACAACGCTCAATGCAATTTCTCGCCTTTCGATGTTGCACATTATAATTGTTATGTGCCGTCGACAAATTATTTCCTCGAACAGGTGTCATCAAAAAGGGTAAGAGGGGATAACCGCTATCTCCTAAAAACAAAAACAGAATTAGTTTCTCAAAAAAATTAATGTACAATCAAGTTTTACCTATTAACCGGAAATTTCGGTCCCCATTTTCGTACTTTCGAGTAAGAAGCACTCGTAAGGCGCTGGCTCTCCATATGGATGCATCATGTGCAGTGCCGCCGAAGCGAGCATTACAATCTAAAATTTTTAGATTATAATCGCATACCTAAGATTAATGCCTATTATTATAGTATGTAAATAAATTAAATTTGAATCATACCACTTGAACATTTAGCGAATGTCCTCCTTTTCTGCAGACATACACATAGCTAAGTTAGGGGTTTTAATTTTTATATGAGTGCAATCAATTGCACCAATTACCCCTGGAAACCGAAACTTTTCATAAAATCTGCAAATAATTGTCGATTAACTACATTGTATTTTAACACAAGATTTCGAAGATATACTTCTCTTTTATAGCGCATAATTCCTGAATTATTCTGGGCCATTTGATGTACTTTACTACAAAATACCGATTCATTATATTTGCAACCTCCTTAACGCATCTACTAACAACTGCCTGAGAAACATTTAACAAAAAGCTTTGGCCCACAGAACGCTGATAACATCCTATAAATTAACATAATTGATTCCTTTTTTTTGCTATTATTAAATATCAATTTACCTTGAGCAAAAAAGCGCAATGCAACAAGTACGCGCATGTCCCTCGAAATTCCATCTGATCGACTTCTCAGTACCATGTACGGAGTTATTTCTGCCAAGAAAAGCTTACATAAATATTTCGAAAGACGAAATATTTCAATAAAACGCGCATCAGATATAGCCAAGGGGTCTGTAGAATTCCGCAAACATTTTCTTTTCCAACGTAAATGATTCCGTGAATCTCTCACATCACCAGAAAAAAAAAATCTCCTTCTTATCAAAAAGTCCATTATTTAATTAATTCGCACACCAATGTTATATTAATTGAATATTAATTTAAATTTCGCAATTGCTAAATATTTTTTGTTGAAGTATGTGCTTTTAAATTTAAATTCAAATTTAAATTATAAGTCCAACAGCTGACAATTTTTGTATTTATTTTGACATTTCAGTGCATTTCAGCATTATCCACATCGCTAGATAAATTTAGCGAAGAGATTGTGTTAGCAGAATCGCACAATCGCTAATTCTCCTAAAATAAGCGAATCGCTTATTTAAGAATTTTAGCGAAGAGATTGGAGTTTTAGCGATAGCGATTAGTGGAATCGGCCTGCAGCTGTTTGTTTTTTTTTACAATTTTGTTACTTTTGTTACGTCACTGCTATGATGCTGGTAAGTGTTCTACCACTAAAGTAATTAAAATATTGGCAGAATAAATATAAAAAAAATGCAAACAAGTTGATGCATAGAAAGCTATTATTTTTCTATTTTTATTATATTTATCTATTTTTATTATATTTATCTATTTTTATTATATTTATCTATTTTTATTTTATTATATATATATATGGTTGTGTATTAAAATTCCTTTGTAAATATCTTATGAGTTTTTTTTGTTTGCATTAATATATTAATAACAATTGAGAAAAGTTTTTTAAAAATGAAAATTTGTTTCATATATTAGTAAATTGTAGTACTTTTTTATTATGAATGTATATAAAATAAAGCTTATATTTAAGGGGTAAAAATTTTAAATTCAATTTTTTTTGTTTGTTTTTTTTGTTGCTCTTAAACATAAGTGAAAGATATAATTTTTTTTCATAGAAATAGCCTGATCATGGTTAGATAAATTATAGGCTCTATGGGTAGTACAGGGACATACCAGGAGGCATGTGTAAGGTGAAATGTTAATAAACTGATGATACATATGAAACATTTGACAGGACTGAAAGACAGGTAGTGTTACTGGGAGGGGTAAAAATGTTCTTTATTCGTAGATTCGTAGATACTCAACAAAATCTATAGACACTAATTGGTGAAGCCAGCTCTTCTACTATGGTAATGCAGATGTTGACAAGCATTGAAGAGTGGAGCCTTTACAATTACATAATCTCTAGAACAATAAACATTGTTGAAGCGGACGAAATACACAATCGGAGTGAAAGCACGCTAAGTGATCTTCTAATCTTCCCCATGAAAGAATATCTAAATTGGTCGTACTGCAAAGATCTCCAGAATTTTGAGCGGAAAACGTGGGAACTTTTGGGCATGTACGGGCCATTTGTAACTTTAGAAGATTTTTTTTTCAGGTTCGATACCAAAAAAAAAAAAGATTCTTCAAGCATAACGACAGCAACAGAATAGCAATCTAAAACCAAGCTCAATATTATTGGGGTTGAGATTCTTAAATTGCTTCTATTTTTACAATCTGAGAGTTTTGGCTTGCCCAAATTAATGAGCTGTTACAAGTTTACCGAATAACATCAGATGCATTGAATTTTAAACTTCAGTAATTATATTGAATACAGATACCGGCATCAATTTGAACTATTTCGAGAACTGCGAATCTTGGGTATTGAAAACGTTTCTGAGGAAACGCTGTGCAGCCCTCTGGCTATAAAGACTACCAAGTTATTTAAGATACATTCTATCTGGAAGGAGTACAAGCAGCATCAACAAACTCTGGCATTGGCAGATAGCATTGTAGAAAACAAGCCATCATTTCAATTCGTTATAGCCACTTCACAATCTGCGATTGATATTTATTCATCTTCATTCGCTTAGCAAGAAAGTTCACATCTGGGCGCCAAACTCGACTTAATAATAGCATTGATATACACTATCTTTCTGTCGAAGCCCAAGCTCGTATTAAACTATGTCTTTATCATGCAATCTTTTCCGCCAATATTATCAAGTGTCAACTGGTCGAAACAACTGGTTGAAATTCCATTTCGAAAAATAAAAAACGTTGTCATCACAGTGTGCAACATTTCGTAAAGCAATTTTCAGCTATTCTGTCGCAAACCATCTTCGTGTTCATGACCGCGCCACCAAGTTAAACTTCTTAAGAAGCATTCATTAGCTCCGAAGTGTTCATCAACACGTTGTGTGCTATAGTCACTAAGTTAAATATTGGCATTATTGTTGCAATCTTTTAAATGTTATGTTTTCGTGAAGAGCAAAACTTACTTATGCGCACATAGTGCAAGCAAACTACATTTTATATAAAAATAAATAATCAATAGAAAATTATAGTGAATAATGAATTAAAAGCAATGTTTAGTATGCAGGAGGTTTTGTAATTTTCTTTACAACAATATTAATAACAGATTAAAATATTTATGTCTTAACATATATAAACTTGTTAGCAACTAATAAGTTAAAAAATTTAAAGTGCTTTTTAATTATACTGTCTGATACGGCGTTTACATTGGCCGAAAATGGCTCATTTTGGATGAGTCATTTGAAAGTGCTTACATTCGTTGTATTTCATTTTTTCTCATTTCATTTCATTTCTGTGCCAAAAAAATGTTACAGGAAGGTTAAATATACCTTCAAACCTTACAATATAAACTGAAAACTTGTTTCTAGATTCGATTTATTTATTTTTGGGAAGTAGAAGTTCCAAAAATTGGTGCATCGTTTTAAAGAAAATGCAACCACCAAACATTTGTTTATTTTTTTTTGTAAATATGTTAAAGCAGCTTTTTCAAACTGTCAAAATGCCATGAAGAGCTTTCATTTAGGGTATGTTCAATAGATTCCTTTGCATTTGGAACATATGTGGAATGCATTCGAACGTCATTCATACAGAATGTGAGAAAATTGCTCATTTTGTGCTTGAAATTTTATATGCAAGAATGAGCCATTCGATACTCATTTTCGATTTTTGACCAAAATGAGCCATTTTCGGCCAATGTAAACGCCATATTAATGTATTCCTATAAATTTTTATATATATTTAACATATTATTACTTTTTAGTTATGTTTGAATTTTTGTTTACAAATTTTGATGACTAGAATATTAGCCGAAATTTCCAATGACGGTTCACAATACATCCTTGATTCTCATTCATTTAGATAGTGTAACGACACTTTTGGGTGACGTTCAAAAATATAATTTTTGCTGGGGTATCCTCAGCCGTCGTCCAGAGTCGTGACAATAAAATTTGTATTTGCTGAGACGTGGTTTTGGTTTAGAAGAAAAAGAACGTTGATTTGCAATATTTAATTAAATACTTTATTTACTTCAGGAAAAAAATATAAGAATCAAACAAGGTTTACTTATAATTCGAATAAATGATAAATAAATGATTCAATAAATAATAAGTTATAACTCAGACAACAAATAAAATATTAGGGTTGTTCACGAGTTCGAGTAACGAGCTCGGTAACCGAGTAAAAGTGC